AATGATTGCAGCATTTTAATGCCTTTCTTGAAAAGCAACATTAGATGGTAGAAATAGTAGTGGTTTTAGACTCACCCAACTTCTGGTCCACCACTTACCAGTTGTGCTAGTTAGCCTCCCTGGGCCTCAGTGGACTCATCTGTGTAATGCTAATAACAATGTCCTTCTCAGATTTGATGATTAAATGAGATACCATATATAAAGTATTATAAAGTATTTGCTGAGGACATCATAGGAACTTAATAAATAGCCTATTTTTTCCTGCCTATAGTAATAATGGGAGGAAACTGTAGCATGTACAAATTAATATTCATATAAAATGTACTTCAATTGAGGTAATTATGACAGAAAAAATAAGGTGATATTGCAAAGAAGCAGATAATACCTTACTCTGGAATTGCATGGGACTGTATTTCTATGGGTGACTATAAAAACATGTTTCTGAACTCCTTACTTTTCCTTATAATGTCTCCTTTACATCTAACACCAACCACTTGGTCCTTTCTACTCAACCCCCCCCCACCTAACCCCCCCCTACCAGTGATGCTCCCCCTCTGATAATCATTTGCTGGTCAGTGTCTAAAAATTCATTTTTGTTTTCTTTAAATTCCACAAAACAATGAAATTGTGTGGCATTTATCTTTCTCCTACTGACTTAATTTCACTTAGTATAATCCCCTTGAACTTCAACCATGTTGTTGCAAATGGCAATATTTCACATTTTCTATGACTGTGTAGTATTCCATCATAAAGATATACCACTTTTGCTTATCCATTCCCCAGTACTTGGGCATTTATGTTGTTTCCATATCTTGAGTATTGGGAATAGTGTTGCAGTGAATGTAGGGATAGGGGTGCATTTGTCTTTTCAAGTTAGTGTTTTCATGGTAAGAAGAGTGTATTTAAAAACTTATGACTTTAAAGGAACAGGCAGTATTTACAAGAATCACTGCAATATAAATTTGTTTTGTTATATTGCATTGAGTCATTTAGCATACAATTTTGAAACTATGTATGTGGCATTCATTCCCGGCATATGAATACAGTTATGATATGAATTCTCTTTGAAAGAATGGTTAGCCTTCACTTTATCCAGTCAGCAAATAATAAAAACACCTCCTTTTCGAAACAGCTAGATGAAGATAGTGTTACTAATACTTGGATTGATTTTACTAATACTTGGATTGATTTTACGAGTATTTGAGTTCCATCCTAATCTGATGTCACTTCTGAAGCTATTAGGCAAAAGGCTCCTTAGTATTCAAGTGCCATGAAGCTTGGAAAGTAGAACAGATAGCATGAAAATGGGGAAAGAAAACAGGAATCCTCAGAAATTAATTCTTAAGGCTAGGCCCACCTTGCATTCTAGTCCAGTGGGTTTCTAGAAAACCTAGCTCTATTTATAAATAAAAGAAAAGCTGTGGGTTAGAAAGAGTAGTCTTTGAAGTCAAATAGACCTTGTCCATCACCTCTTACCAGGAGCCTCAGACTCTTCATCTCTATGATGCAGAATAGTAAACCTCAACTTACGAAATTCTTTTGAGATATTGACAGCACCTGGAGATATGAGTAATATTAACTCCAAATACCAGCTTCTGTGGATGGGTAGTGACTTTCTTGAAATTCTACGTTGAGGAACACTCTAAGGGCATCATTAAGAAAGAATGCTATGATTGATTAGTCATGTCAGCACTGTGAAGAAAGTAGAAATCTGTATCGATATATTTGCTATATGTGTTCTATAAATTATAGCTATTATGATTATTGCTATTTAGACAAAGGTGTTTTTATGTTCCTCTTCCAAATTCTACATCTTCAGCAAAAAATGGAATCAGCTAACTGCTTACATTACAATAGCTGTGTATATTATTTTTATTGACTTGATGACAAATTTGTACATACCATCTGCAAAGAAAAACTGAAAAATGAAATCAGAATTTGTTGTTCCTAATTTTATTGTATAAAACACCTACTTGGAAAAAAAAACTGATACCATTACTAAAGCTAGAATGAGAGTTGGAATGAAAGTAAGAGAGGATGTTGAGATACTGTCCTGGGTTATCATAATAGGTTTGCATGGTATCCCATATCTGCTTTAAAATATTCACAGGAGGAAAGAGATGCTTGTTTTGCATTTGGATAGTCCATGACTTTCTGGACTTTCTTCCTGCCTTTTCTTTTTTTTTTCCCTCCAAGGCCAGATTTCTTTTCTGGCTAAATAGTCATGTTCCTGTCAACTATAGGGGATTTTCTGAATCCTAAACAGCTGATTTTGTATTCTTGCCCCATCCCCTCTATTTGAGGACTGAAATCTGATCAAACCCATATTTTAAATGGTAAGTATTTATAGGCATATGGAAGAATAGTTTAGAGGCTGAGTATGATTTTTTTTCCCACCACAAATGTAGAAAAATGGTGGGTTGTTTTTTTTGTTTTTTTTATTTTTTTTTTTTTGTTTTTTTTTTATAACAGTGCCTTATCGGGTTCTTTTTTTTCTTTTCTTTATTACTGATGACTTCATTTTGCCTGAATTCAATGCTTCAGTTTCTTTGGGTAAACTAATAGATTATGTATGCACTGTTTGCATGGTGCTGATTGAACTCATCTGGTGAGCCAGAGCCGGGCTCATGAATTCACGTAATGGCAGAAGCCTGTGCTGGGCATGCAGGCAGCCTTCCTCCCCAGCTCCAGAGCAAACAGAACTCTCCCACCGGCCTGCCTTCCCAGCGTTCAGAAAGCACATTGGGCCTCCTTCTTGTTCTTATTGTTATCTTTATTCAAATGTTTATTCAAGGAAAACTTTTACTTACATTATTTTTGAAAGCTTTTAAATACATATTGAAGAAAACTAAAGGTACACATAATCCCTATTGCCTTTTTCTTTTTTTAATTTTATTCATTCATTTTCTTTTGCTGCTGCTCATTTTTTGCTAACATTTGGTTCCCCTCATGCGTAGTCCTGGTATTTCTTCCGCCACCACAGCACCTGTGATCCATCACCACAGTCCTTTGTGCTCTTCCCTCCCTGCCTTGACCCTCTGTGTCTTCATCCCAGGCTATAGGTCTCCTACCTATGGTCAACTTGCAGATTCTTTTTCCTGACCCTTAGTTCAGTTTCTTTCTATTCCACATATAAGTCAAACCATCCAATATTTATTTTTCTTTCTGACTTATTTTGCTTAGTATAATCCCTTCCAGCTCCATTCACATTGCTGCAAATGGCATAAGTCTATGTATTTGATCACTGAGTAGTATTTCACTATGTATATAAACCACACCTTTCTGATCCATTCATCTTTTGTGGGGCAATTGGGTTGTTTCCTTCTTACCTTTTCTTAACCAAAGGTGTCAGCTGCCAAGTGTCTGCAGAGCTTGTAGGAAGCCCAGAATCTGGGCTCACTTTGCAGAGAGGTTCTAAGACCTTCTTATCTTCCTTTCACTTACAGTGTGGTTCGATGTCAACTCACCATTTTCTGTTTGTACTTTATAAGCATGACTTTTAAATATTGTAACACAAACTGATCAATGGCCTCTCCCTCTTGCTTTCAAACATCTCATTGAAATCACAGAGTAACTAATATTGTAGGACTTTTTGGCATATATCTTCACAAAGGGTCCCCTACCTGAGTCTCTCCCTGCTCCTTGCTCATGCTAGGTGTGTTGGAGGCATGGTCCTCACACACCATCAAGATGGGTCTTTATGCAAAATGGTTGCCAATTGAGTCAAAATACTAAAATTTATATTATGTTCTTATCATTTACAAGAGTATATCCAAAACATCCAAAAGTCTCCAACACTCACTTGTATTCCAACTTGCTTCCTAAATGAGCAAGGAACAGAAGTTCCTTATTACCTTATGTGTATGTGGCAGGACAAAGAAATGGAGGACCATATCTTACACCCACTGGTTGATTTTTGTTTCCCCAAAGCAAGATGCTTTCTTCTTTCTGTCCTTGACATTTCCCTTCCAACTACCTGGGTTTTCCTCATCTAACCTGCCCAGCCCTTGAATAGCAATGCATCCTTCAAGACTTAGCTGTGTCACCTCTGTGGAGTGTCCCGGGTACAGGTGGAAACCTGCTCTCACTCTCAAAGGTGAAGAGATGTACGTGCTCACATCACAGCCCACTGCAGCTCTGTCATTAGCACCTGTCACAATGGGTTTTCAGTCCTCTGAATCTCTTTTAGTTCCCTACCTCCCAAACTGTGTGCTATGAATCACAGCAAAGTACTATGAATTATTCACATTTATGTTCCCAGATCTTAACATAAAGTCTGGCATGATAGGGTGCTCAATTATGCTTCAGCTGAATCAAACAAGTTGAACTGTAGAGATCTGCCTGTCATTATCTTCTTGTTTCCCAGCCCTGAACTATTTCTCATGCTCTTAGCTCTATTAAATATGATCATAAAAGGTGAAGCTAAAAGGGGCCTCACCAGTTTGGAAACTGGTGGATGAGTCACTGGATGAGCAGTAATTTATATGAGGTAGAAAGGAGAACAATATGGCTCATTCTTCCATTACCAGCTTTTGCTTTTGCTTCTTAATTCTCAGCCTGCTGTTCCATCCCTGTGCCCTAGGTATATCCATATATTGACATATCTCACACACACACACTCTGAAAATTCATTAGTGTCATTGAAACAAACCCTGTGTCACGTCCAACTTGCAGGTTGAACAACTGGCTTCAAATATTCCTCTATGAATGGGATTGAAAGAAAAAAGTGATGGCTCTTAGCTTCTCTCAGAGGTCAGAACCTTACAGTACCTTCTCACTCGAAGAGCATTCATAAATACCAAAGCAGGGATCGTGACACCCTTAAAGATAAAGGCTTTGCGTGTCGGGAGTGGCTCTTTGTTTTTATTGCTGACTGCAATTTTTCTAGTACCCTTGAATCACGATTGAAACCTCCAAATTTGGATGTCACCCTTAATATGAAGTTCAAACTATGAGTTTCCAGGCTGATGTCCACCATGTGACTGTGTTTTGTGCTGTAGTGGCTGCCCTCCAAGTGGAAGCACTGACCGCATCCAGCAGCTTCGGAAGGAGTATTATCAGGCTCGGAGGGAAGGTTTCACTTTATATGAGGATGACGAAGGAAGAGCAAGGCCATCTGATTATGATCTTCACTGGGTAAGTCCATGCCTGATTTCAATCACTGAATTCATTTTTCCTGAGATAGTTTAAAGCAGAAGAACAGAACCAAGAATATTCTATACATATCAAGTTATTTTTAGGTAGCTTGGGCTTCATAGATATGAACATTACTCAAACCACAACCGTCTTCTCCCACAGAAGTTGTTTATATAAATCCAACCACACCAATGCACAGTAGTTCATTTTAATTGCTCTCATATTTACTCCCTGTTGGTCTCGTATACTGACTTGTTGGGGTAGCGCAGATGTTAGCTATTTTAAAGAGGACAAGGAATCTCTGTCATCATCCACTGAGCTTCAATCCTTACCCTCATCTCTGGGCAAGTGTTAGCAGACCAAGCAGCATATACCATCTTCCCTTTGGAAGATGGTTTTTAGAAGTAATTTCAGAAGAGTTATCACCTGAAACATCAATGGTTTGTATAGTACGTCTGATCAATTCCAGTTTGCAGATCATAGCAATATACAAACATCATGTAATTTTGAGATGAGAAGTTTTTATAGTAGAGGGTTGTCTTTTGCCAAATCTTTCAAGATTCAGAAACAGGAAGCACTTTATTGCCTCTAAAGAGACATACTGTGGGCTTTTATCAATAAAACAAGGTTGTCCCTCCAGGATGCACTTAAGTCTTAAGCATTTTCAAAAGTGCCCATGGGCACGTTGTTTACATTTGGAATAAAAGTGCAAGTCATATACTCCGAATAGCAATTGACACTAAGTCACCCTGTTACTAACATCATAACTGGGGCAGAGATGTTCGTGATCGTAGTGTCTTTGTTGTGAGTCAGCTCTCACTCGCCATCTTGGATGGTGACCACCTCCTACTAGTGTTTAGTGCTGCTTTGATAAACACACAAGGAATTCTCAGCCCAGGCCACTAAAGGCACTAGCTCTTTTGAAGGCCAAATCGAACAGGAGAATTTCCTTTTCTATTTTTTACATTCATGTTTGTTCTTGAAAGGTCAGGGTGGGGAGAGCAGTGCCAGCAACCCAGCGATATTCCCGCTGGTGTCCCGGGCATGGTGGCTTCTTGCATGCCTTGCACCTTGACACGTATTCCAAGGTCAATTTGAGCATCCACCACTGTTGCTCAAACAGTTGAAACTTCTCTTTCTAGTAGATTCTTCCTCATATGTTGACATTTATCAGAAATGTGCAGTGAGGGTGGTCTCCACCCGGTGACTTGGGCATTCTATGACCACAGGTGAGGACAAATAGCTCTTTATGCTGGTTGTATAGACTTTAGGGTTGAACAACATGGCATTTACAGTGATGGGGCAATAACAACTTGGATGACAATTCAGTTCATTTCAAGTTTAATCGAGACCAATTTACTGAGTTTGATAAGAGACTTTATACATAACGCCCAGCTCCCTCAATCAAACAACCAAGCAATAAAATAAAGGGGTGCTGTTTTCACTATAACCATCACCAAGTCCAGTGCACTGAAAAGTGCTTCATCTCAGAACTACCATGAATTCCTCAGAGCAGAATCAGGCAAGTAATTTTAGGTGGAGCAGGCCTGCTTGTTTCAACCTCATGTTTTTAAGATTTCCTTATAGCTGACAGTAAGGATGAAAATGCTTAACCTTCATGAGATTTTAACTCCTCTGATCTTCACCAAACTAGAGCTACATAACAATTCACTTGGGTCCTCCTTATCTTAATGATTCTATTTTTTTTTTTTAAAGATTTATTTATTTGTACATACAGAACCGGGGTACAGGCTAGAGGCTCAGGGGCGGTGAGAGGC